CTTTATTATGTTGCCTTTGTTGCAGAAGCGGGCCCATACTGTTTAATTTTATTAATAGGATGCTATCTATTGCACGGCATGAGATAGTAAAAAGATAACATACATGAAAAATTGTCTTTTAATACTATATGATACAATGTTTGCCACAATATTCATTAGATACTGTTTCTCAATCGCTTGATGACCGTGTGGAATATACAAAATAATCCAATCAGACTGTAGATAACGATCTTCATAAACTGCTACTGTAGTGGAATTAGGTTCTCGAAACTTTGTGGTACTATATTCGCTTTTACTATGTCATCGCGTTGTTGAACAGTTCCTAATATATGAATGTTATTTTGAATGTGTATGTTATATCAAATGTCATAGCAAGGTCTCACACTAAAGGTTTTAGGCTATTCTTAGGTCCTTTGGGTAAATCATGCTAATCATGATTTACAAATCAATTGTTGGGTAGATAGTAAACCTATTTGTATTATAGTTCATCATCATGCTGTAAACCCTAGCATAATGAAAAGTATATAAATGCATCCTTGGGATGCATTCTCAATAAAAGTGTAATTCTTTGGCAGATTCAATTTTACATTGTATTTTGACATAACAGTGTACTAGAGCTGATTCGTGTAAAAGTTACTGGCAGATACATGTAAAATTATCAAAAAGTTTCCGCATAGAATGTTACAAAGTGTTTGTTATTTAATGGTGTTGTGAGTATAAGTAACAGATTTAGATAAATGTATATGTCTCAGCAGTATAAGTGAGAAAAAAAAAAACCTTTATTATTTTTGATATTCATATTAACTATAAAAGTTACTAACAAAGTCTGTGTGCACCTGTGTCGTGTGTATAGGTATAGTTTTAGAGTAGACTTAGATAAATGTATATAAAAGAATAGAATTGAGATATAAGATGATCTTTATTGTTTTGCAAACTAAGTTGATATTTATACTAAATTAAAAAAAAAAGTTACACACAAAGTCTGTGTGTACCTGACACCTGACAATGAAGAAAAAAAAAAGGGGGGGGTGCTTGCTTCTTTTATACTGACGCCGAAAGCTCACGTCTGGGCCACACTTCTTTATATAAAGACGCTGATGGTCTCACGTCTGACATTTAACCAACATTGAACCCTTATATATGGTGAGAAAATCTTAATATTGTCAAATTGTGGGTTTTCTTAAATATATCACATTTTCATGGGTAAGAATGTAATGAATTGAAAAGTTTGAAATTGATTTGATCGACTTGACTATTCCCAATAACGGAAAATAATTTAGTTAAAATGTAATGGCAGAAGGTTCTTTAGATTATTCCGGTAATATAAGTATTGCTAGTTGCTGACTAGCAAATTCAGAGTGAATTCTTTTGGAGTTGTACTGTATAAACGTGCATCCAACTACTATCAAGGTAAGCTCTAGGCCATGGTATGGTATAGCACCACGGAGGTTTCATATATCGGATACTGGAAAATATGAACACAAAAGCGCCATCGTAGTTAATCAGAGATTAAAGGCTCTTCTTCCCAGAACATGGCGTATCTGATCAAGTGATTTCTTGTTTGCTATTTGGCTATGGATTGCGTGATATGCTGTTTCAAGGCAACACTTGTTGGTATCATTGGCCTTGAGGGGGTTATACCGTAGTCAAACAAACGTGAATGGCCATGACAATCAAGCATTTAATCCAACTTTTGTTAGCATTAATTTATATAAGGATTTTATCATAGGGAGGCGAAGGTGCAATACCAAAATAGTATTCAAGCATCTAGCCCAATACTTGATAACAGCGATTTTAAAGGTGGTTTTACCGTAGCGAAGCCAAAATGTAAAGTTTTAGTGTTTAAATAGCATATTCGCTTTCTCATTTCCATTACCATTAGCAGGCTTACCGACAACACAATAACGCATCAAAATTTATATGAGTTAGTCTCACCGAAATTGTGGAATACATCCACTATTATCTGCATTTCGACAGTTCATCCAGTTACCAGATTTAGGTATAAACTGTATGTACACTGGATTAGATGTACAGTACGATATCGATTTATACTATAAGAAGATATGGACTTCAGATACGCTACTACTATAAGATTCATACTGATGTATCATTTCTAAATTGGATCTCCAAATGCGTAGAAACAAGCAGTTCAAGCACCGATCACATCAGATCATAAACTTTGACATGAAACAGGATTCAGTTACGATCCATATCATGGCATGTTTAGGATAATAGATTGGATCTATTATCCTATCACCCAAATCAACCCATCTAATACCTTATCCTCACATCAAATCCCTCAATTCGAATAGTATATAAACCCTCTTATTTCCAATGTAATAAACGATATTCTTTACCTGATTAATTTCATACTCTTTCTTTATAAATAATTTATTTCTGATAAATCACTGTTTTCTGAAGATTAATTAGTATCTGTCATCAAAACATTTTGTTAAGCACTACTAAACATTATAGGCCGAAACATTTCCTATCAAAAGAGCTATTGCTTAAAGCTCTGGCATAACTCTATCATAAAATATTAACAATTTTGTCCTGACCAAAAAATCGTCACCAGATTTTTTGCTTGCTATCACACGTAGATTCTGAAGAAAAATCAATGATTTTGCATGATATCCTTTGTTGACCATATCTCGACAAATACTCACTGGATTTGCACAAAACAAAGACCATTCGATAGTTCTACATTATATCGATTATAATATAAGGGTTTCAAGTACCAGATATACGTTCCCTTCATAAATTTGCTCAAAATCATATATTTTATGAGCTACAAGCAGGGGATATTCATTTTTTATTTTATTTATCTATAATAACCATACCATCGTAGAGAGAATTGAAAAAGAAACAGAAGCTATTAAGTCTGAAGCTCTCGTTCACTTAGTAAAATTCAGAGATATGGCCCTTTGAAAATCGGTCATTTGGAACATCTTCCGTCATTACTCATTGGCATCACTTTCCATAACCTCACATCAAACATGTCCTAGTCAAAAGATGTACCCTCAACAACTTTCACTACACATACATCTCACATTTATATAGTAATTTAAAAAGTTTTACTAGCAGCATCTATTCAAAATTAGCTATTTTCAAAAATCTCCCATCTCTCACCAACCATGCTACCTACGCAAATTTCAATTGTACCATCGTTTAGAGGGCAAGAGCGGGATTTAAATTTAACCAAAATCTCCGAAATTGGTGTTTGAATTTTAAATGTCGCATCCAATGGAAACTGTTTTGACCAGGTATGGAAGTTCTCTAGGAATACGTTTTAAAATAAATTTTTTTGTTTCAGATATAGATGTAGTAGTTGTCAGAAAAGCAATTCTGAACATAAAGAAGGAAAAGAGTTTGGCAAGAAACATTATGTGCTTTTTAGTGAACCTGTGGAGCTGCGTCTTCTATATCAAGCTTTTTGCTAGAGTCTGCGTTGTTCTTTTGCAGCACATTAATGACCATTAATTAGTTCTTTGATCGGTTATTTGTTCTTCGGTATTCAGGCTTTGGTATCTTCAAATAAGCGCCGTTATAGCGTGTTGTTTGTTCTAGCGGTGCCGTTATTAAAAGGCTTGGTCAACTGTCTCAATCCTCCAAAAGAGTCATTCTTGAAAAGGCTACTATCATTTGATGAAATGTGTAAACTAAATGGGTTATTGTGATAGACTTGCATCTAATATTTTTTTTTAGATCAATTCTGCAACTAGAAATACAATGCAATGTCTTTGAAACCTCAAGCTGCTCTCATCACTATCTTCAGCAAAAGTTCAATTATGGGAGCTATTTCATACATTTATTTCTACAATAGTGTGTCTGTTACAAGTTTTATGTGGTGGTATGTGATACATTTTTTATATATCGTTTGTAGTAATTTGAGTTTACCAATAGTTACATATAACTTCATTGGCTTCTTGGATATCGTATGAGAAATCTATGAATGACCACAATCAAGGACTTTGGTATCTTGTCAAGTTATGCGCACTACTTAATCCCTGCATGCCTATGATAATACGTGTTTCATATCAAATAGATGCAAGATTCCGAAGAATCTGATCGAGAGAGAGATGAGCAATAGTAAAGGCAGAACATTTAACTTTGACACAACATTGATTATATTGTCAACTGTATAATGTTTACAAGAAGTGCAGCGCCTTGATGCTTTTGTAGATTGATTGTATATCCTGCATCACATGGACATACTATCTCTTGTATGCAAACGGATGCTTTGCAATTCATAGAAATCAGTCCTTTAAGAAAGGCAGTAAAGAATACATGACATTTACCAAAATGCAAAATACAAATCATTGAGCTTGTTAGAGCCGTGCTTAAAAACTACATCTTCAAGATGTGATATTATTGAAAGTGGAGCATTCTACACACACGGCCTTTGTCAGAAGCTATCACGGCGAGATTACATCCTCATATTTATACTATCCCACTTTGATCCGACTTGCTATTGCAGCTACGGCTCAAATCCCAATAACACATTGTGGCATTTGTCATCCCACTGAGAAAGCGTGAGATGAAATGTAGACAGAGTACGGCGTGCATTTGTTACACTAAGAGCATCAGGTGGATGTTTGTTTTCTTTTTTTTGCGTTGTGCCCCGCGTTGCAATTTAGTTTTAAAAAGAGAGGCACTTGTCTAGCACATCGATACGCACACGCAAACACACAGATACAGGCACACACTGGATAAATACAAGCACACATACACACACACGATTTTGTTTAGCTGGTAACATGAAAAAAAAAGAGACACCCCTTCTCTCTCGTTTTGTTTGACCTCCATATATCTTGTTAGGTTTTGCAACTCCTTTCGCTTTCTCCTTTTTCACTTGTCTCTCTTCGCTCTTACGCTTACTCTAGTTTTTCCCTGATTCTATATTACCATAAACATATAAATCTTTACAACTGTTAGAGAGTTTGGCGCATACTAGCAACAAAACCGTTTTAGTTCTCTCTCTCTCTCTCTTTTCCCCCCTCATGAATTCAGATAAACAAAAGTTAAACGACAGCAACAGCAGTAGTAGCACCACTACCAGCAGTAGCAACAGTCTAGCATTACCTCCTCCTACCATGGAACCAAGCATCAGCACGACTACATTTCGTAGAGATTATGATGCTCTTTTAAAGCAAGTACTTGAAGAAAGTTCAGAGGATGAAGAAGATACGTTGCATCACATCGACATCGACTTGAATGCTGCTACTGCTGAACTCCCTGAAGATTTACGAGCTGCCTTGGAGGATCGCTCGTTGGCAGACAAGTACCTGGCCAACTTGAAAACGTTCATGAGCCATAGAAGATCCCAGTCTATCAATTCTGATTATTCCATGTAATGTATATAGATGGTAAAACGAAAAGGAATAGAAAACTGACTTTTGTTGTATAGACCTAATACCCCACTTCAATCCACTTTTTCAAATCAACCCCTCATGTCGCCAAAACCGTTTGATCGCATTCAACCCGACCCATTATCTAAAGTGCTGGATGCAGTGCCTTACCAAACTCGTCTCATCAACGGCGTACCATCACTGACGTTATTGGAGCAAAAGTTTCATGCACTTCGAATACCCGAACTGGATCTACCAGTAGTGTCTGATACCGTCATACAAACAAGTCTGAATGGATTATACAAGATTCGCGATGATTTATATATCCACTTGAACGGTGGACCGCTTGTCAACAGCATGACTCAACATAATATTGGCGAAAAGAAGAAGCAAAAGGTGATGGGTTTATTGGATGATATTTCAAAGGAAATTGGGTTGTATGAAGAGTTTGTCAAGAAAGGTGAGAGTGCAGTGGGAAAGGGGGAGAGGGGGGGGGAGAGCAAGTTGTAAGTCATAGCTAAACTCTGTGTCCATAGCCAACTATCTTAGTCTCGAGAGCATCTTGAACGAGTCATCAGATGAGGAAGAGGAGGACTATTCTGATACGCTTAATGATGCAGATTCCAGCTTACTCAATTTTGTAAGAACGTATACTACGCACACTTTTCATGCAGCCATCTGATGCCAATGTTGTTTATGTTAGGACTCTGCCTCTGAGCTATCAAAGACAACACCTGGAACGCCATCATTCCTATCCAGCGCATCACCACACAGAACCAACTCCCAACTATCACTATCATCACCTGTAAACAGCCACATGCTGAGACAGCGTCTGGGATCATCCAACGGTGGCGATTCCGCCTCTGTCTCAGCTTCTGCATCTCCTGCACAATCGTCATTTGATGTTCTGGATACAGATAGCTCAACAAATGGAAAGGAGAATATCGAGCCTTGGGAAGCGTTTAAATGGATGCCGCTGTCTAAAATCTCGAGTCAACTCTACTCGGATGCTATAAAAAAGGAAAGTGGATTGATTTCGGTTATGATTGCCAGTGGTGTTTTGGCAATTGGTACTACACGAAGCTTGGTATTTGTTTATGATTACTCGCAAAATCTCAAGTGCATATTGGGTGACAGCGCTAAAGGTAGTGCATTCAATAGTGTATGTGTAATGGTGTATATTGATTCCCCTTTCTGCACGCTATAGCCGTTGAACTAGGATCAGTGACATCGTTGGCAGTATCCGCAGATCACACCACCATCGCCTGTGGACACTCTCAGGGATACATTGTCGTTTGGGATATCAGAAAACCCGCTCATCCTGTACGTACCATCGACCCTATTTCAGCCAGCCAAGTCGTTGGTGCACTCTCTACACCACAACAACAGGTACCTCGCAAAGAAGGCCATGTCAAGGGATCTTCCATTTTGCACATTGGATTTGTCGGTGTCAAAAAGACGGATATCGTGTCAGGGGATGATCAGGGTATGGCGTTTTATCACGCCTTGTATAAAGTAATTATGGTGAATGCAGTGGATACTACTCGCATCTTAGGGCGCTATCAGAACCTGTCCTTGACACCAGAGATACAACGAGCTCAGACACTAGCCGCAAATGCAAGATTAAGACTGCAGGCACCCTCTGTGTTGCCCAAACCAAGAAGACCCAGCACTGTGTTTGCAATGCAGCCATTACCTTTGGGCCAAATACCCCATCCAGCAGAAAATTTTGGCCTTGTGGCTTTATTGACACCTTACAAGGTAAGTCGATCAGATGATAACGGTAAGCATGTGTACTGACAGGCATTGTGTGTGTGTGTGTGTGTGTGTGTGTAGATGATCATTGTTGGATTGAAGCCTTCACCACAAACCATGTACAAATTCCTAAAGCCAAAAGTAGCAGCACATCCAGACCACGCTATTGACGCCGATGACAGATCAAAGGCAAACATTGAACCACTGTCTGGCTGCTTGGCATGGCTGCCATCCATCAAGCTGGGCCAAACTGGAGCCAAACAGCTACCCAGAACAAAAGATCCACTGGCTTCTTCTGATCCCATGCTGGCATTTGCCTGGGGAAACCATCTCTTTATTCTTCGTGTCAGAGTCAGCAACAACAGCAACCAAGATGCCAAACCATCACAAGCCAACGGCAGAGGGCCCAGGTTACCGACACCACCAGCACCCAAAGCCAACAAGAAGGGCACCCATTTAGAGTTTATCAAGATTGGCGAATGGAAGTGTAAAGAAGCTATTGTAGGCGTGCAGTGGATTAACAGACAGGTAAGGTTCAGGATGGGGACACACTATGCTTGACTGCTAAGGTTAGACCATAGATTCTCGTCTTGTTCACTCCCAATGAAGAGATGATCCTGTTTGACCCTAAAAACATGATTGAGACACAACACACTAGCATTCGCACCAAGCAGCTCGTGTACCATGACTGGTTCAACGCACCTTTGAAGGATCTAGTCGTGGATGCTGCCAATTTGACTGTGGACTCGCCGGAGGATTCCAGCTTGCTCAAGTCTGTCGAAATGGCCTATTTTGGATCCATCAAGGGGTACAAGGGCAAGATCTTTTTATTGGGCATGAATCAAATCTACATGGGCACGCTGTTGTCGTGGAAAGACCGCATTCTAGCACTAGGCCAAGCAGGTGATTTACTCGAGACGATTGAACTGGCAACATCCTTTTACAATGGCATTGGCATTCAAACGGTGATTGGCCTCCCTGAGGAAGAAAAGGCAAGAAAGGCACTTGTGGGCGAGAGTTTGATGGAGATTTTGGTGGCTTCCTTGAATTACACATTTTCATCCAAACGCACTTACGAAGGCATGGCAGATGAAGTAGCTGGTGGTGAGACTATTGTGTTCCGTAACTTGGCGCAAGGCTGCGTGGAAGCGTGTCTCAGCATGAACAACACAGCATTCTTGTTTGATACTGTATACGAGCGATTTGCAGAGAACAATGTCAAGGGCATCTTTTTAGAGGTGTTGGAGCCTTGTATCGTGGAAGACAGAGTGCCTGATGTCCCGCCATCCATCATGAAGGACCTGGTGGACCACTACAGCAAAAAGCGACTGCTGGATGAATTGGAACAAGTGATTTGGCATGTCAATCCTCGACATTTGGACATTGATCAGATTGTTAGCATGTGTCATCGTGAAGGCATGTATGAAGCAATGATGTATGTATGGAACAAGAGCATGCATGACTATGTCAGTCCTGTGGTGGAGATGCTCAAAGTGGTGCGATCTGTCCTTAGAGATGAAGCCCATAGCGACAGCCAGCAAAACGTGCACAACCGACACCACTCTGAAAAGCTGTTTGACTATCTCAAACTGATCTTGACAGGCAAATCGTTCCCTGAAGGTTCCGCCATCCTGGCCTCGGATGAAGCCAGTGATGCTCGTAGTGCCGTCTATTCCTTTGTCTTTTCGGGTCGCTGTGTTGTCTGGCCCCCTGTTGGCGGCAAATTGGTGCTCACGGCAGACGACGATGAAGGCTTCTCGGAGCCTACATACCCTTACTTGCGATTGCTACTACGCTTCAATACGAAAAAGTTCTTGGAAGCCATGGAAGTTGCGTTTCAAGATCCCTGGTTGAACGGCGGTGAAGACATCCTTAGCTCCAAGTTTGAAGATGAAGTGCCTGGTAAAGTCATCTCTCGTCAAATCATTGTCAACACACTGCTGGACGTCATGGGCGGCGGGTTGACTGGCAACGGCTTGCCACTGCCTCCGCCCAGACCCAAGCAATCCATCTCTGGCTCCACGGTACAGTCATTCAGTACCAACAGACAAACACCCAGCCATTTGCACATCAATGTACCTTCCTCCTCGTCGTCTGGTGCCTTCACTGATCATCACGGCTTCTCGTCTTATGATTATGTCTCTCACGAAAATATCATCCAGCTCTATATGTTTATCGCATCCAATCTGCACATGTATACCACCTTCATCTTGCTGCCACCCAAGACATTGCACAAAGTGCTCGTCCGACTCGCAGAGGACCATGACCCCAATACCCGCATTGAACGCGAAAAAGCTGTGCAAAACCTGCTAACTGTATACACGCCTGGCAACCAAGAGCAAATTGTTGGCCTGTACGAAGATGCTGGGTTCTGGAAAGTGCTGGAAGACGTTTATCGTAGAGACAAAAAGTACGGCAAACTGGTGGAAGCCTATCTCAAGGACGACGAACGTCGTGAAGACGTATTTGACTGTGTTCAGAAGCTACTCAGCTCCTCTGAGCTCAACAGCCGACAAAAGGAAGAAGTGAAGCGTGTGTTTATGATTCGTATCTCTCAGTTTGTGGAAATCGATGGGCAGAAAGCAGCCAACATTGTCGAGCACTTTATGCAGGGAGATCACGCGGATGCCATTCGACGCTTGGAGGAAGATCAAGAGTTTGATGACGACGAGTATCATGCTACTGCGGATAAGCGTCTTTTCTCTTACTTGAGAGGATTGCTAGAGCCCTATGATGAAGAGCAAGAGGAGCAAGAGGACATGCACCAGAATCAAGTGCATCAAGGTCTGATCAAGGAAACGCATATCCCGCATGTCGATGGGTCCATCCAGGAACGCTACATTGAACTGATGTGTCGCTTTGATCCCTCGGGCGTCTTCAACTACTTCAACACCAAACTGAACGATGCCATCTCGCTTGATAATGTGCGCCAAAGCTGCGAGAAATACGGTGTCATGGATGCCGTTGTCTGGATCATGGAAAAAAGCGGCAACACGCAAGGTGCGCTGGAAAAGATGCTGGACGTAGCCAAAGACAAGAGCGCTGCTATTCTCAAGATTCTTAAAGATCACGTTCAAGCCGACACGGCGCACTGGACATTTGAAGAGCAAAGCACTATCAACAGCTGTCTGATTGGTCTCAATGGTGTGCTGAGAGTGAGCACACGACTGTGTGAGAGCAGCAGTCTAGCCACCACTGCCACCACCTCTGCTTATCAGACTGACATGGACGATGACACTATACCTGAGCTGAGCCAAGACAGTTCTACAGGCGACGAACATGACGAAGAGTTCGTGCAGAACGATTTGGTAGAAACACTTTGGTTCCGTCTGTTGGATGCCTACTTTGAAGGCTCCATTGACATTTATAACTCGATTGGCACAGACACGCATCACCATGTGCCTGCAGAAGTCAGACAGCTCATTACCACAGCATACAAATCATTTGTGCAGTCCATATTAACCTCGCTCTTGCTCTCCACCTCACCGCAAGTCTCACTGCCTCGACTTTTGCTCAAATTGATCCATTCACAAGCACGGGGGGAGACCACATTTGCAGACTTTAGAGACATATTTTTAAGCATGCTGGACACTTACAAATACGAAGGCAAATTATTGGAGATGACGAACCGCCTGTTTGATCGGGACTTGTTTGGTAGTTTGCAGGACATGGTTACCAAGAGAGGTAAAGGCTGGCGACCCAGCAGAGCAGTGTGTGAGATTTGTGGTGTCAACATCTTGGATTTGTCCTTGTTGCAGCCTGATTTGGCTTGGGGATTTGAAAGCAAGACTGAGCAACAAGACACACAAGAAGCACACGAAGAGCAAGAGCAACAGCAACAGCAAAAACGATATGTACTGTTCCATTGTGGTCATGGATTTCATACTGCGTGTCTAGAAAGGCAGCTGGGTACAAATCAAGAATGCATTGTATGTCAACATGGCAACCCTCAGGCCAAACCCACCTTGCCACCCATCTCCACACAAGCATCCGCTGCTTCTGATAGTTTGCCTACTGTCAACAAGACATCAAAAGGAAAAGAGAAAGCCATTGAATAAAGCATATCCTCCTTTGTCACACTGTAAAACCATCATCACTTTTTTTATGAAAGGTATTATTGTAGCTTACATTTACCATGTGTCAAATACAGAGAGGATCCAAAATTGTCAATTCCCATTAATAAGAGAATAACTATGTGTCGTCGTCGTTGTGTTGTACTAGCTCATGATTGCCGATGCAATGACGATGGGGTCATCATGCCGAGTCAGATATACTTGTGTTAACCCCACACAAATACCCTCTCCCTTCCCCTGATTTTCAAATCCTGTACTATTTTGTTGCCTGATGATTTGACGCATTATCGTACTGAAATTATCTGATCTTTCCTTTTATCTCTACCGACACATCTTTTTCATCTTGACAGCTTTCACTTGAATCACTCTGAATGGTCATTTTCATTGCCATGGACTATCCAATCTTGCTTCTTTCATGTGAATTCTCAAAAGTCAAATGGGCTATCCAAAGTGGGACAATCAGTCAATATGTCAGCATTGTGCTCCAAATATGGAATTTTCACTCTTAGTCAATTCAACCACGATAAATGCAGTGGGTAAGATTGGCTAACATTTTAGTGGATAAAAAGGGCTTGCCTAAAATTATTTTACTACTCTCTTTTTCTTTCTTCTCTTTCAAAAAAAAAAAACAAAACTCTAGAAGATCAGCATGTCATCCGCCAAGCAAAGAATTCAAGCTGTAAAGCAGCATTTAACACCTGAACAAGAATATGCCCAAGCTGTCGAGTAAATAAACACACAATGTGGACACTGACCTGATTTTAACAATCTATTTTGCAAATTTAGTCCTGTTGCCAGCATGAATGAAGAAAGAGCCAAGGCCTCGTTCGATATTCGTGCATTGACAGTGCTCATGGATGGCGGTCAAAAGCAGACTGATGTAAATAATGAGCTGTACATCATGCAACTCGAGCAAACAATCCCACTCACCATATTTTACCCCTGAAAATCTTATAGTTGAAAGAAAAAATCATGCAAGAATTAGAAAGAGATCCATTGTTCAAGATGGACGATATTCATGACATTTCCAAGTCTGAACTGCGTGAACGCACCATGGAAAAGGTATAGTGCGGATGTAGTGTATTGTGTAGAGTAATTGACTGAATTTGGCTCTAGTTCCGTAGTATGCTTCATCACCTTCAGAACGAATCTGTCGAGACATTTAAAAAGCGTATGGAAATTGTCAGTTTAATCGACCCTGGATTCTGGACTCGATTTGGTGTTCACTGTAAGTTGGATCTGTATAGGTGTGTTGGATGAGGCTAACATTGTATGGGGCTGGTATATAGACGGTTTGTTTGTCGGTGCATTGCAGAGTAACGCTACTCCTGGTCAATTGGGTTACTGGTTCGAAAAGGGTGCTCTTTCATTATCAAACTTTGTTGGTTGTTTTGCCATGACTGAAATCGGCCATGGTTCCAACGTGCCTGGATTAGAAACAACGGCTACTTTTGATGAGGCTTCTGATCAATTCATCATTCATACCCCTACTCTCACTGCTACCAAGGTAAGGTAACACATCATTGTTCAACACGTCTGTATCTGACACGCTGCTCTATGGCTTTAGTGGTGGATTGGCGGTGCTGCTCACTCTGCTACCCATGCCGCTGTCTTTGCTCAATTGATTGTCAAGGGCAAAAAATACGGTACCAAGTGCTTTGTCGTTCCTTTGAGAGATCCCAAGACCTACAACCTGTTGCCTGGTATTAATATTGGCGATATTGGTAAAAAGATGGGTAGAGATGGTATCGATAATGGTTGGATTCAATTCACCAGTGTCAGAATTCCTCGTGGATACATGCTTCAAAAGCACACTAAGGTGTCGAGAACGGGTGATGTCAAAGAACCGAAGCTTCAACAATTGGTAAGTTTGAATGAATGCATGGCCAATAAAGTCTTGAACACCAAATACATTTCTTTTTTGATAGACATATGGTGCCCTTTTGCAAGGTCGTGTCACCATGGTTGCTGATAGTGGTCATTTCTCTAAGAAGGCTCTTTCTATTGCCATTCGTTATGCTGCTGTGCGTCGTCAATTCGCTGGCTCTAATGCTAACGGTATCGAGACCAAGCTCTTGGATTACCCTATTCATCAACGTCGTTTGATGCCCTTGTTGGCACAAACATTTGCCATGCTGTTCACTGGTACTGAAATGACCGACATGTACAACATTATGATGTCCAGATTGGATGGTGCCAAGGAAGGTGATGATGATTTAGATGAAGTGATTGAAATCCTCAAGGAAACCCACTCTACCAGTGCTGGCCTCAAGGCATTCTGTACCTGGAACTGCTTAAGTACAATCGAAGCGTGTCGTCAAGCCTGTGGTGGTCATGGTTATTCCGCATACACTGGTTTAGCTCAAATGTACCAAGACTTTGCAGTCCAATGTACATGGGAGGGTGATAACACAATTTTGACATTGCAACTGGGACGTTACCTCATCAGCAGTTATCGCGATGCGTTGAACGGCAAGAAGCTCTCCCCTGGTGTTGGTTATCTCAACAACCTTGATAAACTCATTGGCAAGAAGTGCCAAATCAAGAATCTCGAAGAACTCCTATCACCTGAAGTCATCATTGAGGGCTGGCAAGTCGTCTGTGCCAATGTGGTTAGAAATGCAGGTATCGAGTTTGAAGAGAATCTCAAGAAGGGTATGGAGACCGATGATGCCTATGAACAATGTTCTCAATCACGTCTCTATGCTGCCAAACTTCATTCCTTTGGCTATCTCTTTAACCGTTTCGCTGACGGTGTTTCCAAAGTCTCGGGCAACGAATACGATATTCTCATCAAGGTCTGTCTATTGTACGGTCTTTACTCTATTGAAGAAAACGCTGGCGCCTTTTTACAATACGAATACTTCACGCCTGCTCAAATTGAATTTGTGCGTAGCAGTGTGAACAAGTTGTGTAAGGATGTACGTGATCAAGCCATCCCTTTGGTAGATTCATTCAATTTGAGTGATTACATTATCAATAGTCCTTTGGGCCGTAAGGATGGCAATGTCTACGTCCACTACTTTGAACAAGTCAAGCGCTCGAATCCTCAAGGTGAGCACCCTTACTTTGATCGTTTGATCAAGCCTTTGATCGCTCGCGAGGTTGAAGGTGGTGATTATGAGGATGAAGAGGCTGGTCTAGAGTCTGAAGATGAAGATGACGAGTAGATTTCTTATACTTTTTTTTTTAATAATACACATGTACAATAAATAAATTTTAACCTTTCATGATATACAATTGACAATAAGCTGCATTGCGTGGTCTGTGATACAAGTCTTTTTTTTTTTTTTTTCTTTAAATCCACAGATCAGACGCAGAAGGTGATTTCAAGAAGTGTGAAGGCGCCATGTAATGTTCCCAAAATGTAACTTTTGTTAGTTGGTCAAGGACAGTAGTAGCTAGAGATAATTTTTAAGCATGCTGAGCAAACTTGATCATGCATTTGAAATCATGAATTATCGACTAAACATTATGAATAGCTGTTTTGGCAGTCTGACGTTACAAAATATTTGCGAAAGATGAAGTTACAGAAGCTATCAAGGACGCAAAGGCAGTACAACACAAAGCTTCTATTTTGGAGTCATTGATCTTTGAATACAAGATAAGCTTAGGAAGGGCAAATACCAAGATATATTTTTCTTTCTAAATTAAAACTTTTCTATTGGGAGAGCTAACAAGGAGGTTGATACTGATCGGCTATTGATAAAATCACCTGGATTGCACACTTGATGGATTCACAATGGTTATGACATCTCTGAAGGTTTTTCCAAAGTACAATCAAGAGCCAACAGAATGCAAAGCAATGGCAGTAAATTTTATCTGACACAGCATATCTTTCAAATCATGTAAGCATAATTGACGTGGAAGACAAGAAATCATAACGTAATATATCTATTGTCCCTGCACACTGTCGAAACCTCAGAAAGGAAAGAAGCTAATCCTACAAGTATTGTGGTGGGCTGGCGTTATTAAACATAGAATGCAAGAAAAATAGCATGGCTAAAGAGAGCGTTATGTCGTTTCCCACCTACTTTTCATACGCTTCAAAAGCATCTATTATTATGGCTGTATTGCCTTCATAATTAACAGGGCATTGAGTTTGCCAGCAGGATCCACCAGCCAAAATGAATTCAAATCCAGATTCATAGTTTGTTCAGGATTGAACAAATTTAATAGTTTTTCGACTTGAATCAATCATTTTGCCATATTCGACTATAAAAGTATGATTGTTATCGCGTGCTTCTTTAAGCTTTCTTGGAGTGCTCTTCAAGGCGCATCCAACAGTACCTAGTAAAGTGAATGTTTTGAATAAACTTATTGAGCAATTTATCAAAATATAAAAAGAGGTTTATGGCCAAAATGTCGAGATTTTACATATCAAGGTCCCACAAAGATGGTTTCAGGGGTTACGTTAGATCGATAGAAACATTTTGATTCAATATATACCATCGTAAAAGTCTTCGTTATCATGGTGAAAAACGCGATTGTTTGATTTTTGATGAAAACCATGAGGGGTACCTCATGTTTTTTGGTCGAATTTTGGCCATGTTTTTTTTAATCCCCAAACAGTTGAGCAAAGGTGTCAGAAAGTAACTGTCAGATGAGAGCAACTGTTTGGTGCTATTCTGGCGGTTTTAAGCGGCTTCCAGCACAAGAAATTGTTGCTCAAATTCACCTATTTCTTGCTGTGCTTTGCATTCTGTCGAGTGCCAAGAGGCAATTCAGGTATAATGTATGCCTTGATCACTTGTTTAGTGAAATTTGAAGAAATCAATGTATTGGTATGCCAGAACCAAGATACTTTCATCAAACATAAACCATCGCTAGACTGTGAATAACCTTTATGTAGAAAAATCAGCGGCTGGTTCTATCAAGTAGCGCTTACGGTATCCAATACCCTCTTAGATGCATATGATACTAGCATTTAATACAACTATAGATACCGTAGATACTGTAGCAAAAGTCATATCTCTATCAAAGCTTTAAGATATTTTTGGCTATTTTTATATTAAACTACGGGTTGAGCGAACGTAGGTCATTGTATAATTACATGTGTGTATATAGTCCCTCACACTACTAGTGCTTTTGCAACGACTAAATATTTTGCTCTAGAAACTTCTTGAAGTTTGGAATACTTTGTATCCATAGCAATCCAACAATTTGTATATTAGTACATAAACTCTCAAGTGCATTGTCCAATAATATGTGTCTATCTCTAATAACATGAGGCATGAAGCTTGCGCAAGACTGCGTGTGTACAATGACTAAATAGTCATCTCTTCCGAGAGGAGAGTTGTATTGCCTACAATGATAGCGGTACTCTGTATGGCATCAAACCTAACAATGCTTCGAAATGGCCATAGTCAGACTTTCTCCATTCATCTTCAACCACAGCTTCACGATTCAAGAACATTTATATCAGTGGCACTTATGATATCAGTTGCTTCAAACGGCTTTCTGTTTATACATTGGTTTTAATAGAGAATGTAATAAAAAGACGATGATATAGTAGGCAATGCAAAACTCTTTTTATTATTAATTTGCTTGTAGCTTTATAGAAAACGATGGTAATGTATGAGAGTTTGTTTAGATTTGAATAGATGCTAGCTAACTTGAATATAATTTGATTTAACTTGTATAGGTAAGAGATAGTATTGATGTGTGTATTGCAAGGTTTCGTGTATAGAATAGAGACAGCAGATGTGGCAGTATGGCTTGACTTTGTATATACTAGGCAGCATGAGTCTTGACATTATAATAGATGGCAGGCAGCAGAGATACGAGTATGGCTTGACTTTATATATACTAGGTAGCATGAGTCTTGACATTATAATAGATGGCAGGCAGCAGAGATACGAGCATGGCTTGGTCTTGTATGGATGTAGAGATGGCACCGTGTATTAAAGTGGTTTTGACATTGCAGGAAATAGATCTACAGTATATTGCGGGACATTGGATTATTACAAAGGATACTTACCCTGTAGCATACTTGATGGACGATGAAAAGAGCAGCTTGAAACACGAGGAGACCAAAAGATGAAGCCAGGCTTCCAGGGCAAACCATCTGCCACAACTTGCATATCCCTAGCAACAAGGATGGGAAGACACCTCCCGGGAAACGCACCTAGCGCCTCGTCGCATCACCCTTACGAGCTACCGGGGCAACAGGTGCTGAGGCCACACGAGACAACCACCTTACGCGCATGACCCCTAGACCCCATCCAAGGCTTCAACCAAGTATGGAGTGTTTGCAAGTCAAAATAGAGAGGACCTGAGCTCTATTAATAGAGAGATGGTGAGTCATGCTGCTTTATAAGCTAGAAGTGACGAGTACATACCTGCAGAGTTGATTGTATGTTGCTATTATCTAAAAATACGAGGAAAGTGCGACCATGTTTTGCATGGACCGCAACCTAAGAGAACCATGGAATTATGAGAGCATTGTGTAAGAAAAAGCCAATCATCAGTAGAGTGTTTGATTTACTTGACCATGTATAGAGCAGAAATAGAGCCCAAGAGTATTGCAGAAAGAGTTCGCTTGCAGAGAGAGTTCGCTTGCAGAGAGATTTGTTAATAGAGAGTAGAGATGAGATGATGATGATGATGAAGAAGAAGAAGAAGAAGAAGGAAAAGCTGTTGAAACAACCATCTATTTATATCCTTCTCATCGACTTTCATGTGAGTCCAGTGTCCTTGCCACACTCAAATTCGTTTCCTTTTACTTTTCTCCACGATATACTACTTTTAGCGCGTGAAAATAGTACCATTTTGACGTTTGACACTTGCTCTATTTGATCCGCTTCGTCCGAGGCTTTCAACTGTTTTCTGTCTCGAGTTATGGCCATTTTGCTACTTCAAAAAGCCCTTTTTCCACCTCCACATGAAACGAGTTCCCCCATCTCTTCCTAGATGTAATTAACAGACAACTTTTCACTGGCTCAACCTCATCAAAAAGTAAACAAAAAATGTCATTTGACACTGAAACAGATGCAGCTGGTTGCTTGATTAAGTAATCTTTTTTTTTACCTCTCCTTAATTTCTCTCTCCAAGACCATACGGTTCTCGATCCATCTCTCTTGTTGTTTACATCAGCCATAAACTGTCCATCTAATCGGACAATACGAGTGTTAAGGTTGGCTTACTTGTCGTTTACATCACATCGAAACCAGCATAACTGATTCTGGACCAAGAAACAAGTGTACACCTCGGAAAACAAGAGTGCCATATGAATATTACTGCGACAATCTCCATGGAATGGAACATAATGGGTTGTTTTCGAACCAGTGCAAGTCATCTTGTTTCCAGCTATCATGGTTGCTGTCAATGATGTCAATCAAGTGTATGCGCTACTAGATATCATCAATATGCCCACATTTACATAGTGAGTTGGTCATTCTTGTGTATCATTCCTGCAACCTGTTTGTAGTTCTTATGCCAAGAGTATTCATCTCATAAAGAGTCAACACGTTTCATATCTTTTTTTTTTAGGGATCGTCCTCTTTTAGAAGGTATTCGGATCATGCAAGATCAAAATAATTCATTTGCTAGGCAAAATTATGCTTTAAAAAAAATCACATGTAAAGTAAACAAAAGGACATGAATTGAAGAGAGATAAGCAAGTAAATGGCCAATTTGTGGTCAAAGAGAGGATATTTTATTAGAAGGTATGTACATCATTAGAAAGCAAATCGCTTGAGGAATCCAATGGTACTATTTTCAGGGTTCTAAGTCAAGTACACATCGCGAAATTCATCAAACAAGGCCGTGGGATTTCCAAAAGAAGGAGGTTTCTGAATTAAACTTCATCTCTCTTCTCCTTGCAAGATCCCTTTGTCTGTATGCTATTCTGTTGCTTTGGATCATGTCACGCCCGTCCCATGTCACCAACCTGTTCTTTTTGGGTCTCACGTTGGGTACGCTATCCATTTGAGAAGGAGTCTCGCTTTCTCGTATAATCGTTTCTGTGGGTATCATTGCCGTTATATTATAGGGCTTTGAGCAATCAAGGAGAGTCTTCTTTTAGCCAGCCAAAACGGATTACAATCCCGCTCGACTTTCTGTCACGATTCGTTGATTTTTGATCCTTTTGCGACTCGATCGACTTATTTTACGAGATTCGACTATGAAAGTTGTAGTGATCATCCTTTACAGCCTTAAGCTATCTAGGAGAAGTTTTCAAGGCGCATCCAATGGTACTAAGTAAGATGAATGTTTTGAATAAGCTTATCGAGCAGTCTTTGAAAATATGAAAAGAGGTTTCTGGCCAAAATGTCGAAATTTTACATATCAAAGTCCCACAGAGATAGTTTCAGAAGTTGCTTTGGATCGAGAGAAACATTTTGATTTGTTATATGCCATAGTAAAAGTCTTCATTTTCAAGGTCAAAAACGCGATTGTTTGATTTTTGATGAAAACCATGAGGGGTACCTCATGCTTTTTGGTCGAATTTCGGCCATGTTTTTTTGATCCCCAAACAGTTGAGCAAAGGTGTCAGAAAGTAACTGCCAGATGAGAGCAGTTGTTTGGTGCTACTCTGACCATCTAAAATGGCCTTGAACGCGAGAAAATGTAGCTCAAAGGCACTCAGATTTTGCTGTATCAGGGACACTAAAGACTAAAAAGAGGAAATATCAGTATACTGCTTCCTAGTGTATGAAGTATTTCACGTGTATACAGACGTGGAGCATCACATGAGTCAGCTACACAGATAATATGAAAATTTTCATGTGTAAGTGGAGGGTTAAAATGAAAGCAGCAGTATTTTGAAAAGATGAGCAGGGGCAGTCGGTGGCGCTAGCTGCGCAGGTTGGCTCTCACCAAAGCAAAGCAAAGGTAGATAGCCATGCGAAGCATAAGCACGCTCATATATAGATTACAAACTATGTGGTATGATATGGACCACCACTAGAACGGGCAACATTTCAATAGGAACCACCGTATATCTTAAGCTAGTCTTACTATTAACCACTAATGTCTACGAGCTACTCTGATTAGGCTAATTTCAACAGTGAGCTACCCTAATATAAGCTATGCAGTACCCATAGGATGTACATAAGTAATAGAATAATGTTTACTTGATTAGCTTCAACTAACTGTTCAAGTATACCTCTTTTATCTGAGCTATTCCAATTCAAAAGATCGGTTGATTCAGAGTGGAAGCATTGTACACTCCATATGAAAGGATGATGCTCATTTCATCTTCCGGAATTAGTCTTGGAATACCGCTTTCGATTGAAATGGTAACTCAAATACCATATTTTGCGCGTTTCTTCTTTTTTTTTGTATCTACCAACCTCGAATATGAGCAGAGAGAGTCTTGTCAAGGTATCTCCACATTTGGAGACAAAGGCTTTATCTATCTTGAATGTGAAAAGCCCTCTAGATTCCCCAGACTTTGACCCTACACAATATTTGAACAAACTCTTTCCTACCGGTATATAGAAGAACACTCTAATGCAGCTCATGATTCTAGCTAAACTTATATATTATAGAGCAAGCGCTTGCATCCGTAGATGGTGTATTAGACAAACTTCAAGTCAAGATAGATGAGATGAGTCAAGAAGCTGAACGACTGACAGATACCCAATTGAATAAAGATGCACTTGAGGGCAACAAAGATTTAGATAAAGCCAAAGAAGCCATCAAAGTAACAAGTGCTTGATTGAACCCAACAAGGGCCTATTATTTACAGTATGATGAATAGGAACTATTTCAACAAATCCAAGATATCAAATCCAAAGCAGCACAATCCGAGTCGATGGTGCAAGAAATCACACAAGATGTAAAATCGCTTGATTATGCAAAACGGCATTTGACACACTCAGTGACAGTACTCAAACGGCTTCAAATGTTGGTTACAGCCGTAGATCAGTTGGAGACCATGTCAAAAAACAAACAGTACAAGGAAAGCGCCCAATTGCTGCAGGCAGTAATTCAGTTAATGCAACATTTCAAGTCGTATAAGAGTGTGCCTCAAATCGCACAGTTATCAGATCGTATCACAGCCCTGAAGAAGCATCTAGAGACATGTGTGATTCGAGAATTGGAGACTGGGTATGTCATTGATTAGTGAGAGCTACGAAAATCCTGAGCTAAGCTGCACCGTAGATTCAATCAAGGAGGACAGTTGGTGGGACAGCCATGGCTACTGCATGATGCTTGTTTGGTAGCCGATGTTTTGGGAGAGACAACAAAGTGAGTAATGAAGACAGTAAGGGAGTCTAGCATCAAAACTCACAAATGAGAATGATAGAGAGAGGATTACCAAGCGATACGTAGATTTGGAGCTGGTGAATTATCGACAGATATTCAGGCCCATGGAAGAAGTTTCTCAACTGGACAACGTGTCTCGCCGATATGCCTTTCTGAAGCGAATCTTGAAGGTGTGTGATGATGAACATGCAGAAATATTCCCTACCAGCTGGACAGTGAGTGCCAGAGTTTGTGAAAAATTCTGTGAATACACAAAGTAGGTTGTTGCGTGTGTGTGTGTGTGTATTGGAATGAGGTATTCATAACTATGTGTAGATCTGATTTGGATTTGGTCATAAAGAACAATCCTTGCGATGTGAAGGATCTACTAAAGGCATTACAATTGACAATCGAATTTGAAGGGCAACTCAACAAGAGATATGAAAAGCATGTAAGTGGGATGTATTCATGCAATAATAAGAGCCTGCTTCTAATGTATTTGCTACAGTTCAAGGATGAAGACAAAAAAGAGCACATGTTCAACTTTGAAAAGTCCATATCAGCAGCATTTCAACCTTACTTGTACATTTACATCAATGCTGAGGATGCGTAAGTGTGCATGTTGAATTTAGCTACCACATGAAATACTAAAGGTACAATAGCACCATCTCATCTATGATTGACTCATACGCACAATCCGACATGAAAGCAGACCAAGAGGACGATGGTACGATGGCTGTGCTTCCATCCAGCACAGATTTATTTTATTTCTACCGAGAGACACTTGTCCAATGCTCCAGATTCTCTACGGGAAAAGCACTGTTTGATCTCTGTCAGCTCTTTGCCAAGCACCTCGACTCGTACTGCAACCAAATCATTTTGGGCGGATTAGCAAAGAACGAAAAGAAGGCAGTGACCATTGACCATTTCCGATTTGCCAGCTTAGCCTTGAACACGGCTGATTACTGTTGCATGACCACATCGCAATTGGAGGAGAAACTTAAGGAAAAAGTAGATGCGGATTACCAGGACAAGGTGGACTTACAAGGCGTCAAGGACAACTTTATGCGAGCAATCTCTACTTGCATTGACGCCATAGTCAAAAACCTGGAGGCAGCGTTTGATGCACAAATGGTGCAAATGACACGCTTGTCGTGGGGCACTATGGATTCGGTGGGTGATCAGTCTGATTATGTGAGTCAAATGCTGGATATTATCAAGAGAAATGTCACTGTTTGTGGAAGAATCATTGCCAACAGACGCTACTTTAGAACACTCAGTGATCGATTTGCAGAGTAAGTCATTTACTATCAAGAGTGGATCTCATGGCTAAGATGGCTGCATGATTAGGATCTTTATAACAAAGTACTTAGCGCAGATATTCAGATGCAAACCTATCTCAGAGATTGGAGCTGAGCAGCTGCTGCTGGATACACATTCGATCAAAACTCTCCTTATGGATATTCCATCCATGGGACTATCAGATGGCCCAGTATCCGTACCTACATCGTAAGTTACAGGACTCGCGCTTAAATTCAGCATATTCACTCTTGTGTGCATGCAGATATAGCAGAATTGTGAATAAGGGCATATCCAAAGTAGAAGCCATTCTCAAAACTGTCTTGTCGCCCACTGAACCACTCGAAGCCTACGTTGAAAACTACCTCCTTCTCGTGAGCGATAAGAGTATAGTCAACTTTACCAAACTATTGGAACTGAAGGGTATTCGCAAGCCAGAGCAGAATCCTCTGATAGACATGTTCAACAGAAGAATACCGCACCATGACAACCTGGCAGAGAATTCCAATATTTTGCCTCTCGAAGTGCTACAACAAACAGCGAGTGGATCTTCGCTTGGGGGAGGAAGTGGGAGCGCAGGAGGAGGAGGAGCCATCCCAAGCTCTATTACCACGTCATTATCGACAATAGCATCTACAGCTGCTTCTAATTTCAATCATACCAGTTCGCCTTTCCGAACAACTGCCAATTCACCTAATAGTGCCACTTCACCGACCTCCCTTGCTTCTCCTGCGACAGAAGGTACACGCGGTAGACTGAATGAAAACTTTAGAAAACTTGTCATGACAGGCATGGCATTTCGTAAAGACTTGCAAGAAAGAAGGGATCATCAGTCATCGTCATAAAATGTTCATTTTGGTCAATTTCAAATTGTATTTTAAGAATAAACTGTACATGGTATATGAGTCTATAATTTAAGCTCTGCTAGAATTTTGCTGCACATGTTCTTGTATTGCCATGGATCACCACCTACGCGTCTGAATTGGAGGCCATGCATGCCCAGCAGCCACGGCACCTTGACAATGTAAATCTCAAAACGCACCACAAGGTCTGGCAGAGGCACAACAGGCGTTATAGCAGCAGCAGCGGCAGCAGCAGGAGTTGCAGTGGATGGTATTGTATGATCTTCAGAGGAGAATGACTGATGTCCTTGCATGTGTTGCATTGCTTGATCCTCCAAGCTGCTGCTATTGTCATTGCTGCTGTCTACCACTCGATTCAAATCGATGCTTGGCATATGAACGCACTCAAATCGACCTTTACTTTCTCTCCATTTCACGCCAATACGTTCCAGCACACGAATCAGATCTGCACGGATCACAGAAGGATGCTTTGTGGATGTTGTTGTTACAGAAAAGAGGCCTTTCAGGAACACGGGCTTGATATTTTCATCCGCTGTGCCTTTTTGCGTAACTTTACTGTTGTTGTTGTTGCTGTGGGCCGAGGTGGGGAATGCTTGCTCATGGTCATGCTGTTGCTGCTTATTGTTGTTGCTTTCGCTGTGTAGAGGGTCATAAGCATGGCGCGCCAGTCCGAGATCACTGTTTTCACTGTCTGCTGCTACATGAGATGGTAGTTCAGAAACAGGGCCCTTGGCAGACGCTAATCGGCCCTCATTCAGCGAGTGTTGCTGCAGTGAAATGGACTGGCGCTTGCTGCTAGTATTGGCAGTGGTGGGTTGATGATTGCCTACCATGTTCAAGAAATTGGTGTGGTTTTCAGCATTCATTGCGTTTTGACCTAGCGTCATTCTTCTTGGTATTATTTTGCTGATCTTGTTGGAAAACGTGTTGGCTGAGGCACTGTTGTTGTTGGACACAGAAGCAGCGGCAGCAGCAGCCGTGGCTACATCAAGATCGCTTTGGTTTATACCAGCTGCTGTTACATGACGCTGTTGATGTGGCGGCGTAAATAGAGAATTGGGAAATTTAGACGTTGGCGCAGTAGCGTAAGATTTGGACAAATGCCCACAGTTTGGTTCTCGAGAAGGTATTTGTATGGGCGTTGAGGTGGAAGACACAACCACGGGATGTCCTCCATGCACACTGGATTTTCTTGATCTTCTAGCACTAGCAGTTTCGCCATTCTTGTCCGTGGATGTTCGCCTCGATAGTGCATGACTCAAACGTCGCAGTACCGTGTGGCTGTTGCTGGATTCATGGCTGGTAGTTCGATTCAAGTCGTATATTTCCTCGTCGCCTGAATCTGACTGTATGGAAGGATGATGGTGGCGATGTCCATTGGATGAAGTCCTTGAGAACAAGCGACTGAGGCCATTTTCAATCAAGTGCAGTTTATCATTGTCAATGAGATGACCCTCTTCGTCCACTCTGATCTGTGTCTTGCCCTTTTTGCCATAAGCGACACCCGTGGAGACAGCCGTTGGACTAAACATGTCTGGATCACCAAACAACGATTGTTCAAATGGCACGCTTGCTGTAGGATGCACTGTCTCAGGCAGCGAAATGTCTGGTATATGCAATGATGTGTTGCTGGTTGGGGAGAATAATTTTGGTGATGTGTTTAGTGAATCCAGATCAGCTGCGTCTGTCGCGGTAGATGCTGCTGCATTAGCAACTATGCGTTTCTCTCGTTCCATGCGCTCTTTGACCAGGTAGTAGATGGAAATCAAAGGGTGGTAAGCAGCTGGCACCGACTGTGGATCATCGTTTGGCAGAGTGAATGCTTTTTTACTGAGATGAGATGAGAACCTGGATGTTAAATGTCCCTGGCGCTGATTTCGATGTGCTTCAGCCGTGCGCTCCATCAGTGTTTTTGCTGCTTTCTGGTATTCCTCTGAGGTGATGATGTCCTGTAGTTTATCGCGAATGTCGATTTCCGTTCCGAATTCAAAGCCTGTCATGCCACGCACCACGTCCATATCGATAGGCAGACTCAGAGGTATTCGATCTGGCAGATAGTTGTCGATGGGGCCATCATAGCCTTTATTCATCCAAGGGTGGATCATGATTTCAGACACAGTGGCACGATGCGCTGGATTTGTCACCAGCATTCGAGATAGCACACTTTTGCAATCTAGGAAATGATGTTAGATAGGGTTGCAGTACTTTGAACATGACAAAGCTTACCGGTGCTCAGATGCGAGGGATAGTCAACAACACCTCTCTTGATCTTTTCATGAAGCGCAGGCATATTCTGATCATCAAACGGCACCTTTCCACACACCAGCACGTACAACACAACACCAAAACTCCAGACATCTACTTCTGGACCTGTGTACGCTTTGGCATTCAGTAATTCTGGGGCAGCAAAGTACAATGAGCCACAAAATGTGCTTAGCGAGGAACGTGGGGAGAACAAGTTGGATAAGCCAAAATCGATAATCTTGATGTTGCCGGCCTGCGATATCAGTATGTTTTCAATCTTGAGATCTCGATGCACAATTGAGTTGCGATGGCAGTAATCCAATGCGCTCAAAATTTGACGCCCAAACCGTCTCGCCTGTTTTTCTTTGAGTTTACCGTGCGAAATGATATAATCCAACAGCTGGCCACCATTGACATATTCCATAAACAAATAATAGTATGAATCCAAAATCACCATTTCCTTTAGACTCGCAATGAAGGGGTGGTGCAGCAGCAACATGATGCTGGCTTCTCGGATGGTTCTGATTTCACGGTGCTCGTCCTTTTCCTTCTTTTTGGATTTCTGTTGTTGTTGCTTATCTTTGGAGTGAATGCGTCGAGGCACAATCTTTACTGCCAGCTAGTAGATATGTATATGCATCAGCCAAATAACAACATCCCAAGATACACACATTTGCAACACATACTTTGTCTCCCGTAAAATTGTGCACTGCCAGTCGAACTTTGCCCATGGAGCCTGATCCCAATGTATTGATGAGCGTGTAGTTGCCAATAATCCGTCTCGGTTTAGCACGCTCAGACGACATTGAGCGTTTTGACGAATGAGCAGCTGAAGTGGCAGCCAGTGTCGTGGGTCTCTTGTCAGCCTCTCTGGATGTCTGAGGTGTCAATGTATGGGGTGATATGCTGCTGCTGTCGTCTGGACCTGCATATGCCGGTAGTTCTGAGGGCACTGGTGAATCGCATAATATGTTGGTGCCATCGGGCCCTTCAACAATTCTTTCACGATGAGTGTCAATGGTAGCCGCTGTCCAGTCTCCTATAAACGACGTGGGCCTTTCATTGATATCGTCTGCTGGCCTTCCATCTGTAGGGTGTACACTACAAGGAGGAGATGACATTTGTTGTATAATAGAATAGAAAAAGAATAAAGAGAAAGAAAGCACAACAGGATAAACAAGAGGTAATTCAATTTTATGGTGTGCGTGTGTGTTGTGTAAAATATACAGTGTGTCTCTCTCTCTCTCTGTGTGTGTGTGTGTGTGTGTGTGTGAGCATAAATTCAACATGCAACTCGCCTCGGTGGAATCTTTTTTTTTTTTTTTTTTTTGATAGTGGGTTAAAATGATATCATGCGCCTATTGTAAATTTTTTATTTTGTAAAATATTTATTATAAAAACTTAACGGTAACCATTATTGCCTCCATAAGATGGCTGTTGTTGTGGAGGGTATCCATGTTGAGCAGAAGGCGAGTAGCCACCGCCATGACCACCACCCACATTGTTGGACGTGGCACTGTAGAATGAGCTGTTGTTTTGTGCGTAAGGCTGTTGTGTTTGAGGTGGGTAGCCTTGTTGTTGTTGTTGAGGTGGGTAGTAATCCGTTTGATAACTCATGGGTCGGTATTGCGAGTTGCTTTGAGGTTGATAGGGTGGATATGGCTGCTGTTGAGGAGGATAACTGCTGTTTGCATTGACTGCTGTGGTGGGTGGGTAAGGCTGTTGGTTGATGGAGACATGGCTCATGTTGTTTGTTAAATCGTTGACACCGTACATGTGCTGCTGACCGGGCGATGGATGATGATGAGACAACGACTGATCTGCTGCTATTAAGGGTGTCTGATAATCACCATAGGCAGCGTTGCCATAAGATGGGTCATAGACGGATTGCTGCTGTGGTGGTGGAAGTTGTTGCTGTTGAGGATAGGCATCTGCTGCTTCAAAGGAGGAAGTAAACACAAAGGATTTGTCGCGAATGATGCACTCAATCTTGATTTCAGTCAGGCCAAAGTACATTTTGATGGTCATGTTGACCTTTTCGCCTGCTCTCACACCCTCCAAATGTGGCATACGAATAGGAAAATTGCCCACCTTGCGCACCAGGGGATGCGACGTAAGTCGAGGAGGCTGTCCTTCGCCATCAAATGCAAACAGGTCAGAATCCGTGTCGTTGGGATAGCTGATGACAAAGTTCTTGGACACGCATTCGTCTACTTTGATGCTCTGGCCTTGATGGACATAGACACTAAAACGCTGGCGACAATAGCGCTTTTGATCGCCACCCATGACAGAGTACTCGGGAGGGTCAATGTCATCTTGGAACAGCATGCGCGTCTCCACACCATACGTACGACGAGAGACACGTTCAGTGACAATCTGAGGATTCAAGCCAAAGTAGACAGCACCACGCACCACAGCCAGTTCACCACGAGGAGGAACACCAATCATGCCCACTTGATTTGCAAACTCGTCTTCCACTCGACGGAACAGATAGTTGGATTGACCAAACCCGCCTACCAAAAAGATGGCCTCCAACTGAGGTGATTGAGCCAGTTGTCCCTTGATCAAGTCCAGCACTTGACGGATCACAGGTTCAAACACGTATTCTCTCAACTCCTCTGCTGGCAAGCAAAGTGATCCATTATCCAGTCCAATGTCGTTGTCTGTTAAATCGCCCAACCCCATAGACGCAGGCAGATCCAAGAAATGATCTTCAACACCATCGAAATCAGGCTTAATGACATTGACAAATGTGTCCATGATGAGCTCCATGGCGCTGTCGTTGATGGTGTGGTAGTGAGAGAACTTGCGCTTGAGATATTCTCGCATTCTCAAATCTAAAAAACCAGAGCCACAAGAACCACCGTGGCCGTTGGTTACTTCCTTCAATGTGCGTCTTTCACCAGGAGGCTCATTGATTTCAAACACAATCAAATCCACGGTACCACCGCCTGCATCGCAAATCATGAATCGTTGGCCATGGCGTAAATTGAACTGTTCAGATTTCTTTTCGCAATACAAGGCTGCTGCTTCAGGCTCTGAAATGAGCATGAGTCTGTCGGGATGGTCTGTGTTGTTGATCAATCCAGCACGGATAGCTGCTTCACGCATGGTTGCTTTGGCTCTATCACTCCACATGGCAGGCACAGTCAGACACTGTCTTTTTGTGTGAGAAGGCATTGCATTGACAACATTTTCGCTAGTATACACTTACATAACGGAATCTGGATTGATCGTAATTGCCTGCAAAACCCTTCAACAGCTCAGTGCAAACATGCAAATGAAAGGCACGAAGGTAGTCTGCAATCACATCAATGATGTTGAGTCCATTGCCTAGCTCGGTTTGCTGCAAATGCTCGTCTAAATACAGCTTGAATTTAGACAGTAACATGGAATCAGCGTTGTTGGGCTTCATGGCCAATCGTCGTGCACCATGGCCCCATTCAACCAGCTGTGGTGATCCTTTACGATACAAGGAAAGGGTCGGTGTCTGTATATACAGCGAAAATTAAGGTTTAGTCAAGTTGGGTAGTGAGCGTCTTTGACTAATGTTTACCTTGGGATAAACTTGATTATTTTGCTTTGGCCTGAGATAAGCATCTTGAATGTTAAACTTTTTGTTGCCACACATACACACCATCTCTCTCTTTCTTTCTCTTAGATGCGATTGCTTACCATTTTACAATGTCAATCACTTCTTCGTTCTGAGCAAAAGCATAGCAACAACCAGAGTATGTTGTACCTGTGATTTATATGTGTAAGAGGGGAGATGGGATAACAACAGCAACAAGCGCCATTATCTGTTCGTTACCAAAATCTATGCCTACAATGACAGGATAGTCTGCATAATTAAAACCAGAATTCATTTTGGTTAAAACTGTGATATCAAGAAACAAAAGAGAGGAAAGAAAGAAGGGAGAAGGAAAACAAGTGAGCGAAAGAGGGGTGGATTTTGTACACTAAAAAGTAAACACTCACTCACTCACACACACTACATCCTAAAATAACAGCACACACACACTCTCTCTCTCTCCGAATCAAAATCTTGTGGTATCATTCTGCTGATTCGGCTGGTTTGTACGTCATGTAGGATAACATTATCCCCATATAAGCACCCAAAACATTCGCGAAATAGATATATAAAAATAGAAATATACACAATGAGCCAAGCTTTTTTTTTTTTTTTTTTTTTTTTTTTTTACTGACTGATGAATTAGAAACATGGCGTATTGAAATCGGATCAATGATTGTGTACGCTCTGTATAGAAATTCCAGTCAACTTGGCATGATAAGTATGTACCTATATACTAATACATGCAATGCTAAGCTGAGCATGGAGCAGCATCTTACCATTGCACTTGGCGCGTAGATGCCAAAAGAGATCATATCAGCATAGGCATGGTGTCTTTGATCCGCGCATGTGATACAGGCAACCCTCCTCACAGAGCCTCAGATATGCTGGATCGTGTTGCAAGTAATGTAGCGTTCTCTTATTATAATCAAAAGCTTTGTGAAAATCTCTATTGCAATTATGTATAGAGTTCTGCAAGTAAACAAATATAATTTGATTACTGTTGCACACCAGGGGTTAATATTCTTTCTACTTGAACGCCTACTGCCAAAAGGTGCAATTTGATAAAGTGTGATATAAATCAGCTGTAATGATAATATGACGGATTGGAATACATGTTACAATATGATTTCCAGGAAAACACTTCATTGACTTGTATCACATGTAACTGCCCAGATCTATACTAAATTAATATAAATATGTGTATGAATTTTTCCAAACCTACCTTTTCCTTTCAGTTTAAAGGTATCCAGGCTATACTATGGTACTTTTTTTTTTCAATTCGTAGCCTTTTCTTATCAAAAGCATTGACAATCAACATGCTATTACATTCGCCAGCCAAAATCAATTTAAGCTCAGACACCAACCTTCTTCTCTAGATTGGCTAAATTTTGATTAGAATCGATCTAATTCATTTATTTTGGACAAATCGACTATATGAATTGGCGTGATCATGCCATACTCTATTATGCTTTCTAAAAGTATTTTTTAAGGCGCATCCATTGGTGCCAAATAAAATAGGTGCTTTGAACAAACTTTGCGAGCAATCTTTGAAGATGTGAAATGAGGTTTTTGGCCAAAATGTTGAAATTTTACATATAAATATCTTGCAGATAGAGTTTCAGAGGTTGCTTTGAATCGAAAGAAACATTTTGATTTAGCATATGCCATAGTAAAAGTCTTCATTTTTGAGGTAAGAAACGCGATCGTTTGATTTTCGACGAAAACCATGAGGGATACCTCATGCTTTTTCGTCGATTTTTGACGATCCTAAAAAAGTTGAGCAAAGGTATCAAAAAGTTGGTGCTAGATCAGAGCAACTGTGTAGTACTATTTTGGCGGCCTAAGACGGCTTCTAACGCGAGATATCAATGCTCAAATGCATCCAAATTTTGCTGTAGTTCGCGTACCTCCAAGTAATAAATGGCGTTGTTAGTATGCTGTACACCTTTGTATGAACAATTTCCATTAGCATAGACATGAGGCATCTTAGAAGAATCTGATCCACATTTATAGGCCGCATGTAAAAGACTCTCCACGGATAATAAAAAGTTACAATGTGAGTTTATAGTACAAACCGACAACAGCTGGTGGAAATAGGCATCAATCCAGGCACTCCTTTGTTCGAGTGATGGTAGTAACTAACAGAAGCTTTATTTGACTTCCAGTCAACATTTACAAATATCAGCGAATCACTTATAAGAAGGGCGCAGTGAAAAAGCAGAAATTAAAGACTATTGGCGTGGCGAATACCTGGTTAGTCTATGCCTGGATCAAGGAGAAATAGAACTAGTAGCCCTAGAGAAAATTAAAATAGGAATACAATCTAGTGCAACCTACGTCTCATAGTTGCATCGAGAAAACTTGGCTACAGCTTGAATGAATTTCAAGACTGGAAATTTGGCACATTACAGTTTTTTAGCATCTTCTTTAAGAAAGGAGTAATGCTTTTGATACATTACAACACATGCCATGATTGAATTCCCGTCATCCCTCATTTTCCCTCAGCTATACATATACTAGATGATAATGAAAAACTCAAAATAGAATTTTTCGCTCTCTTTTTCTATTTTTTTTTTTTTTCACCATTTTAGTTTTTCTGTTGCTTTTGTAGCTTATAAAGGCCATCATGACAGCAACAACAGCAACATCATCGGCGACATCTTCACCAAAGTCGACCATCCGAAGAGCCACAAACAACAGTAACAGCAGCAGAAAGAGTGTCAATCGAGCTGTCAATCCCAACATTGTATACGAATATGCTCTTCGTTGTGCTATCAGAGCTCATATGGAGCAGACAGAGAAAAAGCGAGATTCGACTTTGAGCGTCATGACCAATTCTTCTGGATCTGTTTCGAAAAAGAAAGAGGAAAAGCATTTGTCGCTTCATCACAGCTTCTCCAGCTTAAACGACAAGTTCAGCAACGAGGACAATAAGAAATCTGGAAAACTGACTCGAGAAATTGTCAAGAGTCTGTCGAAACGCTTGGAGGACGTGTACAAGGAAAAAGATGTGTCTCAACCAGAGTTTACGGACAAGAGGTTTCGCACAGTGGCAAAAAGTGTGAAAAAGGGGCTGCAAGAACATCGCTACCGGCCGTCAGGCACTATCAATGATATCGTCGTTTCGTTTCTCAAGTCCAGTGAAGCAGAATTAAAGATGAACCAGCCAAATCCTGCATTATGGTATGACGATCTTAATCGCTTCTTGGCCAGATTTGTCGACATGGTAATACAAACCTTACAAAAAGATGCGCCTTCATCTGCCACACCGGAGTTGATTGATAGTCTTTCCGCTTTTTGTACACCCACGCAAAAGACGACACTGCCTGAAAAGAGATCCTCCAATTCATCCAATGCGTCATCGTTATCAACCTCATCAACAGCAGCAGCAGCAGCAGCCGCCGCGAATCAAGATAACAGCATATTGGAGTTTCCAATGGTCATGACCATCAAGCACTTGTTTCAGATGAGCGACAGAGAACATCAACAGAAAGTGATGGAACTGTTGTCTGTGTGTACCGAATCAGTAAGTAGCCGAGCAATGGTATCGCGTTGCATTTGTCCATTAAATATGTCTTCCACATAGGCTTTGCTGCATGATTTCAAGAAATGCATCAACAATGTACACACAAATCAACCATTTCCTGGCAAAAGGGAAGACTTCCCATCAACCCAAGCATATGAAAACTGGCAAAAGAAGGAAGTGAAACAACTGACGGAATTGATGAAAACGCTCATGTTGATGAATCCAAATTTGAGCATTGCGACATCCAGTGAACAGGATGTGGGTAACACCAACTTGTTAGCCCGACAAAGCACAGACTCTTATGCGTCTGTATCAAGCTTAAGCAGCAGCAGCAGCAGCAGCATTAATGTAGGTGGCCACTCCTTATAATCATACGTCGAGGAAAATTAACTTGTAGTTAGGTGGTGGATGCTAACTCATTCACATTTATCCCAGCAGACCCCAAAGGATGCTTTCGTTATCTGATGAGCTTATGTCTTGATCATGACACGGACAACCTCTCAGCGTTACCCGAGGCAGAGCGAGCTAAAACCAGTGTCCTTTCTCAACAATCTGACGAATTGCTGCGAGAATGCTGGAAGACTTGGCGATTATCAGCACCATTCCGTGCCATTCTATACCTCAGCCTAGTCAAGTCAAAGTTTGACAGTAACGAGCTCGGCCTAGATGATATCAATGATGCGCTGCGATCATTAGAAAGAGTAGCAAAAGAGAATGATGCTTCATGTTGGGCCATTGCAGATGTAATATCAATGAATTCGTCAGTTAGGCTTGCAGTCATACTTATCATATGTCTTGTTTATTTATTATTAGAGAACTAGCATCATTCGCGTATTGGAAGGCGTGGATAACTCTTTGTTGCGTGATTTAGCTGATGGATTATCCGAATATTGGAAAATCAGTCCAACTTGGGTTCAGGACATTGTGGACCTGTTGGAAAAAGTGTACAGCAATGCCATCTATGCAGAAGCGCATCCAAATCCTGAAGATAACATGACTCAATTAGAAGATTCAATCAAGGTATGCATATCAGGCTTCTTTGCAAGTCTTTTATTAACGCTGTGGTACCAGGGCGCTGCAGTAGAGAGATGGAGCAGCATTGAACGGACAGCCAATGACCCTGAAAAGGACGCCTTATCCAATCTGTTTTCAATGGCTGATGTTCTCAGTAAGGAACTGACATCTGTTGCCAAAAAGAAGTTTCCTCGTCCCATCATGGGTATTCTATCTGTATCTAGTCTTGTCATGGCAAGGCAAATGCCTTATTTCGCGCTGGAAATGGAGAATTGGGCCTATTCTCCAGACTTCAAAACATGTCCTATTGATAGTGCATTTGCTTTGTACGAAAAGGTGTTGCGTCTTGAGAAGCTTTATGATGAATATGGACCAGAGTAAGTTATTGAGCCTATGTTTGATGGGATGGCGTTGCTAAATCGTGCGTAGAGACAAAAAGAGTCTGTTCAAGGTTGAGTCATGGTTTATGCCTCACGTCAAGCGCTGGCTAATAAAGACAAATGAATCTACGTTTGACTGGGTGGAAAATGCAGTTGCTCAAGACCAGGTAAATAGCTGCGAATGCAACTGTGTCGTGCAATGACTGACAATATTTGCAGTTCCAGCGATATAGCGATGTGGTTGTGCACTCATCATCGATCATTGATTTATTCTCAATGTTCAATCAGGCGGTCGATTTTATAGTCCATTTGCAGTGGCCAAACGACTTACAGCACTGCTTATTCATGACGTTTCTAGCAAAGATTATTGGAGAAGGCATTGATCACTATTGCCGCACGATGGAGGAACTGATCAGAGCAGACGTGTTTCCCAATCGTTTATCAAGCCAGGACCTAGCCTCTGAAATTGTTGTGTCAGGATCGATATTGGATAAAGCACGCTACCAAATCATGGGTGGACGAGGATTGAACAAGGACGAAGCATGTGCGCCAACCAACTTTATTACGCCTGAATTGTGTATCAAGCTAAACGACATTGAGGCAGCTCGAGGCAAACTAGATCGACTTTATCAAATGATGCACGTGGACCAGGTTGCTCAATTCATGCGAGAGAATATCTCGCCCCAGAGTACATACAAACCGGAAAAAAACAACTTTTTGTATTCGATTCGTGTGGTGAGAGCAGAGAACTTACAGCCAATGGATAACAACGGGCTAAGTGATCCCTATGTCACTTTCGAGATAGACGGCAAAATGATCACCAGAACAAGAACCGTATACGAAACCTTGAATCCTCGATGGGATCAAGAATTCGACATCTGGCTAAGTGAAGATGATGTGGACGTCTGTGTCATTGTCAATGACGAAGATGTTATTACCGCTGATGAGGAATGCGGTGTAGCATGGTTCACTCTGTCGCCTAAATTCAGCGAGTTGTATCAAAAGGATGATTTGGTGCTTCGTTTATCCCCACAAGGCTCCTTGGTGTTGCGTGTCAATATCGAAAGTGAAAAAAACGATATACAATTTTGGTTTGGTAAAGCATTCCGTACCCTCAAGACATCGGATATGGATGCGGCATGGCTTATTGTCGACAAGGTAGGTTGCAGAGCATAGAGTGGTGACCACAGTGCTTATAGTATTACCGTCGTAGATGACACCATACATCCGCCATTGCTTGTCTCGCCGAGTCATTGATAAACTATTGGGTAGAGATAAAAGCGGCTTCTTTTCTGCATTCAGCAGGGCTACTAGCAAGCAAACTGAACCTGATCTGCAAGCTTGTGAAGATGCAATTGCACCCCTATTGGACTTTTTGGAGCGCAACTTGGCCATGTTGAATGAGAACCTGACAGAGACACTCATGCAATCTGTAGTATTAAAGATTTGGAAGCAAATTTTGAGGACGTTGGACAGCATCCTATTACCACCACTGTCTGAACATATATCAGAAGTTAAGCCGCTCGATGACTACCAGCTCCACGTTGTGCTGAAATGGCTAGAGGTAAGATTAGCAAGCAGTTCTGTTGCTCTTTCCAACAGTATTGATTTTCATTCTGTAGTTGCTTAAAATTTTGTTTAATGGAGGCGAAGATGGGGATGCTATACCACTTGAGAGCTTGGAGAACGCACAATATTACTCGCTATTAGCCATCAATTCTGCATATCGTTTGGATACTCTGGAATTAATGCAAAGCTATCAGCTATCAAAGAGAAAATCTCGCTCTAGCTTGAACCTGGGCAAGAAACCAGCTAATCGAAGCAAAACAGTGTATCATTCCAAAAATACCATACGGCACAGCAAAGCTGCCGAGAAAAGGGAGCAGCACAGGAGATCAACTGTGGCAGACGTGCCACATGAAGATGACATTTTACGTATCCTTCGAATGAGACAAGACCGGCAAGTAGTCGAATTCTTGCGACAGGAATTTGAGAATCGCAATAATCGCCCTTCATCAAAGCAGCACGCTACTGACAGTGGGCATGTAGCCTTACCTGAGACGCCTACATCCATCAAGGATATGTCTGTGCCGCCAGACTCACCAGCACATGGTATTACACTGACAGATTAGATTTGATTCAAGTACCTGAGTAACTAGAAGTTTTGCTACTTTAACACCTAGTCACCAACAATAAATAGTAACTTCAAAATTTATTCATTGAAAAGATTATCTAAATCACCTTTGTTTGTCTAATTAACAATTAATCAAAGGGATTAAATCGTATGTGTTCCTCTGCTGCACTCTACAGGGATCGACAAGCAGAAAAAGAGCATTCTAAAAAGGAGTCATTATCTATGACGCATCCCAAGAACGCTACTGCATACTTTTTCTAGCTTTCAATAAAACAAGAATCCACACGGACCAGTCAAACAAAACTTCTTTTGCATAAAACAAAAACGCAGAGCTCAAGACAGATTGCAATAGCTTGGAATTTAATCCACTGTATAAGCCAGCAATGCCTTCATTCTTGACCACTAATCGCATATTTTCCAGCACTCCAATGTTGCGTTCCTTTGTGTTTTCACTCATTTGCAAACGAGATTTGATCAATCTACAGATAGTTCATCATCAGCATCATATCTCTTGAGTTAAATAGCACAACTCACATATACGGGTACATGACGATGGTAGCGCATAATTTGCTGAGTGCACCAAGCAAGAAGTAATCTAATCTGCTTAGTCCACCTTTCGAGGTTATTAATCTTGTCTTGAGGTTTTCAAAAATGGCATATTGAATAATAGGATTCATGACTAAAATCATGGCCGCATTGCACCCCGAATACAAACCAACAATGCCCTCCTTTTTCAAAATGTATAAAAAGACCTGCAGTGTCGTAGGTCGCTTGCTTTTGTTGGATAGTGTTCTTTTCTGAACTGACATTCGGGTCTAAACTAGACATGTTAATAGTAATTACTGAATGCACTCTGATGGCTTACATTGACTGTCCAGATGGGATGGGTCGCTATGACCACAGCAATGCCAGCCAAAGATCCCGAGATCATCGACTGTGTTGTAGTGATCGGTCTTTGCCCTTGCTTTGTAACCAACTTCTTCACAGCTTCATAACAGTAATAATACACACCTGTAGCCACACTGTTTAATAAAACTATGTGTCACACGAAAATCAAATATAATACTTTACCATTTGTCACAGCTATCCCAAATATACCTGATGCGAATCCACTAAAAGCACAATTTAGTGCTAGAGAAACTTATCTGCGGTTATATACCACATACGAGTACAGCCCTTTTGGTCCCTCTCTATTGATTATTTTGACAAAGGCATCCACTGTGTTCTATCCGAAATCAACATTGAGTTCCAGGAAATATGCGCCAAACATCGAGTAACAATACCTTGTAGTGTTCATCTTTCCGTAAGCTATTGTTCTTTTGAACTTGAAGCCGAGAGCTGATGGCCACCAACGGATATGTAATTATCATCGATATGATACCTCCTCCAGCACCTGTCGAATAGAGTGCCCTTCAGTATACATAATCTTTCTCTTCCAGAGCATTACAAAGCTACCTGAAAGTGCATGTGCCAAGTTATCCGTCATGGTGTTGATTTATGAAAGAGAAAGTGAGAAAATGCACAAGAGAAAGAAAATGAATGAATCTTTTGGGGAGACTAAAAATAATTTGAGAGATCACAGCTGTGCATCATAGCGGATCAAATGATTGGATTATCTTTTACAGCTGCTGTATTCAAGCAGGAACCTAAAAATCATGTGCATGAATATATCATGGAGGCAACTGATGAGAATATTGGATAGTCTGCCCCTACCACGACTTGCAATGGCCATCAAACCATAATCAAGGCAAATATCAGTACATGACAACGTCTAGCGAAATTAGACGATTGACAAAAAAATAAGCCCAACGGGGGGGTCGAACCCCCAACCTTGAGATTAAGAGTCTCACGCTCTACCGATTGAGCTAGCTAGGCAAACGTTATATTTGGGCAATCACAAAATAAACTATATTCCAATTAAAAAATTTGCAAACAGCAGCAACTTTCTGATTTTTCTTCCTATATTACCCTAGGGGTAAAGTATGAATATCATTTTTGCAGGTAGATGGTAAATTGTTCAAGAATTATGTAGATTAAGAAACAGATGCTTTTGAAAAATATAAAGTTGAACTATGTTTTAAATGATATATAGATACATTTCAATACATTTTCAATCAAATTGATGAAGCAACTAGCCGAATGACTACCTCATATATATTACCTAACAGGGTAATATGCACACTCTGCCCCTTAGGCAATATTAGAGGCAATATGTACACTTTTCCCCTATTTTTCCCCTACTATTACTCTACAAAAAAAATTGCATCGCTGCAGCAGTGACGACCGCCACGACGACGAACGAAGAAGCAGCACAGTGTGTAGAATACATCCACTATGATTTGCATTCCGGCAGTTCATCCAGTTACCAGATTTAGATATAAACTGTATGTACACTGGATTAGATGTACGATATCGATTTATACTATAAGAAGATATGGACTTCAGATACGCTAGTACTATAAGATTCATACTATATAAGATATAGGCTATAGATGGCACCACGGACATGGATGGCACTATAGACTTATACTTGTATTCCGACATTGACTACGGATGTTTACCATATCTGGATAGGCACCAAGATTAATGCAATATGAGCTTGTTGCTTCAGATGTGCACTTCATGATCCACGCTATAAGACACATGATGCTTATATCCGTGATACTAGCTACCACTACGGCCCAACTGATGTTCTCAAAGAACATCGATGCGCTCTTTTGGGAACATCGATGTTCTCATGAGCACATTGATGTTCTCATTTGAGAAGGTGTAGTTTTCCACATGAATAAAATGGTTTTAATAGCTAAACTATAATATTGTAGGCAACAGAGAGACTTTTATTATCTGTAAGATTCATAAAATTACTAAACGTATTATATATTGCACGAGAAAATGGCAATTTAAAATTACCTAATAACTACTTATTAAAGTAAAAGAATATATTTCATTAAGATATTCGAGTAGTTTAGTGGGAAGAACGTCAGATCCACAACCGATAGGTTGTGGGTTCGACCCCGTTAGGAGCATTCTTTTTTTTCAAATTTCTGAAAATCGATGTGCTCATATAAGAATATGGATGTGCTCACATGGGAACATTTCGGATGTTCTCATAAGAACATCGGCCGACTTATAATAGATCTTTAGGAACGCCGATGTTCCCATATGAGAGCATTTTTCGCCTTTCGGGAACATCGATGTGCTCATTTGAGAACATCAAATAGATTCTCATATGAGCGCATCAATGTTCTCATGAGAACATCAGTTGGGCCGTAGTGTACAGATACTTTATGTACTACAGACTTGTACTATATATGAGACAACATGCTATAGACATGCATACGATATGCTATAGACATGCCATATATCCAGATACATGCTAAAGATGTATGCTTCGCGATATACACTCAGATATATACTATTGATATAGACTAAGGAGACTGTACCTATCGGATACATGCTACTAGATTGATATTAATTATCCTTATAGAAAGGATAGATCAGGGTACTTCGGATGAGAGTCTAATTATTCATCCAGACAGAGCTAAATCATGATTAGCTTGCTGGAATTGTCTTTTAGCATGATTAGACATTAGTTGATCTGAGTTGACTTATTTGTCAATCTAGTTAATAGAACTTTTATCCATTGTTATAGTATATAAGAAGGATCATCTACCTGGCCAGGACTTCAGTTTACTTGACACCTGTCAGTTTGATAATAAAACATACCTTTATCAAGTTGACATTACTGTTTTTTTATTCTTTTTTTCCGTGAATTTTAGTCTGTAAAACCTCAAATTCCACAACAGTAATAGATACTTTTGAAGCGTATGGAAAGTAGATGGCAAATCATAGAGCATTATCGTTAGCTATGCTGTTCTTTTTGAATCTATATTTGATAACGCCAGTCTATCAAAATACTTGTTAGATCAACTTCTTTCCTTTTTGAGGCTTTGAAAGTGTTTAGGGACCATAAATTTATCATGTTATGATATTACATACAGGCAAAATTTCTTGACGTTAAATTATATGTATATGATTTGTTAAGCACAAAGAATAAAAGGATTATTATTTGTAGCTTATAAAAAATGTTCAATATTATAAAAACAAGAAAAGACTTATTTGAATAAGATCAGACACAAAAACTAAAGATTTATTGATGAAGACAAGAGTTATTCTATTTATACTAAGTTCTGAATGCCAAAGTAGCAATTTATCTTGTACAACGCTTATCACATCTGGTGAACCTCAGTATTTAGATAGCTGAGATGCACTTCACTTATCATAGCTTGTCCATGTTGTTGCACAACACAGACATATCTACCCATCAAGAATACCTTAATCTTTATAGACAGTTGTAGCCCTTCTGGCACAACATTGCCCCCCCAGATTCAGGTACTTCTTGTGGACATTTCGTAATCCCAGATTACAAAACATCATGACAATATAGCACATAAAGCACTTTCCAATAAATAATTACCAAATGACACTGCATCCGAGATCAGTCAGTAAAAACCTTGTGTAAAAACCTTTCATAGGACAAAAATGTAAGGAAAAGACTTGATCCCATCATGCTAGTAGCCATTTAAGACCTGTTTGATCTACCGCTCTGACCAATTTCGCGAGTAGTAGTAGTTCGCCAGTTAACTGTTTGAGGAGCTAACCTACGTTTACCAGCAGCCTTTGCACCTTCTCTTCGAGCCCAATACAGCTCAATGTGTTTGGCCGAATCAAAGTTTTTCACAGGCTCCCAAGTATCTTCACTAGGATCATCGAACCCTTTCCATTTTACCTTATACTCATAGTTACCAGGAGATCCTCTATGATCAATCACAGCTTGAATTTCGTAATGCTCTGCAGAGAACTCATCAATTGTGATTGGCTGAGGATTCGCAGCGACTTGGTACTTGATATGATGGGTAGGCACATCTCGACTAAGGAGTGCACCCGTCTTGTCAGCCAGCACATAGGAACCTTTATCGGTTATACTATGAATCAAATAAGGTCCTTCATACCGTTCATCTAACTTATTTTGACGATGAACATTTTTAATCATAACTTTACTACCAATAGGATAGGGTTCGGCAATGACCTTATGTTTCTTCGCAAAGTTAGCATGATCAGCATTTTGTGTATCCACAATACGCTTAGAAATAGCCGGGATAAGAACATCTTGTACAAAACGGTATCGTTTGTCAATGAGTCTATTATCAGCTTTCTCCAAACGTTTGGAATAGTCCACCTTTGAGTAATCAGCCAGACCATTTGGTTGACGATTAAACAAAAGTGTATACGGACGAGATTTATGTAGCCGAGCATACTTGACATTGATGCAGTAATTCACCCACGGAATGAAGTGCTCCCATTGATCCCTCTTACCTTTTAACAACTTGATAGTCGTTAACTTACATATTTTGATAAATGACTCAGAAACCGAGTTATCCAATGGATTGTACCCTAATGACAGGCGATGGTCTATCCCACTGATGTCCATCATAGCACGGACCACCTCATTTATCCATTCCAGGCCTCTGTCTGAAGTCAACTTGATTGGCCATCCAAAAAGTGAGAAAACTTGAAGCATTTCCCTGGCAATTGTCGTAGCCTTCTTGTCTGGAATGCATCTTATCACAGTAAATCTCGTAAAGTAATCAGTAAGGACAAATAGAAAGTTGCTGCCGAAAGAGCTAGTAACACCCATATCACCGAGATCCATGCACCAATGATCCAAAGGTTGGGCTGCATTGACACTACGGAAAGGATGATATCCCTCTCTAGCGATATTGTACCTGTTACACTCGTCACAATCAGCTAATATTCTTTCTATGTCTTTCCGAATGTTCACCCAGTGAAACCCTTCATGATGAATTGCAGTTTCAACATGTTTGATCCCAAAATGTCCAACCAGATGCTGAGCAATGATCATATTGTCTCTTTCATTAGCAGGAGGAGTGATATAGTCAGCAAACCTAAGCGTACGCAATATGAATTCCTTTTGCTTTTGCGAGACAGCTGTGGTGGTGCCATCTTTGATAAGAGTAGCGTTTACCGCAGTGCGTGCATGGTTGCTAAAAGAATTAGATCGTAACGCCTTAGTTGTCTTGACCAAAGTACGTTTCATTGGAGGCGAAGGTGTGACAACCTTGAGTTTGTTTTTGGAATCCTTTTTCTTTCTCTTTACACTTTCACCACCATCAGCATAGTACCTGCCCCCCAGAAGATGTCGTGCTGAAGCATCAGCATCCGAATCTTCGTAAAGTCGAGATAAAGCATCAGGAATTACGTTAAGGACACCGGGCAAATGCACAATATCGAAAGTATAAGAAAAAATGGTCTCCCACCATCCAAGCATGAGTGCATTGGGGACTTCCTGTGTATTCAAGTAGATCAGACTCTTATGGTCCGTATGTAAGGTAAACTCTCGCATATACAGAAAACGATGAAACTTAACCAAGGCATAGCAAATCCCTAGCAATTCCCTTTTCGTAG